AGTCGAATAAAAACCAGTATTATCTGAAAAACATAAAAGAATACCTTCCCACAAAAAATTCCTACCTGTTTTAGCAAAGCGTCGAGGGAAAAACTGGAAAATCCACACCTAAAATAGCAGTAGCCACTGAGAGCAACATAGTAGCCCTGAAATTTAACATCGAGATTCTAGTTAAAAGAGCTTTCACTTAAAGAGGGAACATTCGGAGTTGTTAACTAAACTGACCTGAAATACGTAACAAACGTCGTTGGTTGTTGGTTATCGTCGATGATTCTGTTCAGTACCAACTTCACAGCAGGCCGATCAGGTGAGATTAGATATTCACAAATTATGAAAACTAGAAGAGTTGCCAAGCATGTGGTCAGCACACATGTCAGCAATAACAGTGATTGTGAGAATACTGTCATAACTAGCAGTCCTGGTACTACAAGAAATAAATAATCCAACACAAATTTGAACCTGAATGTTTGCTTCCATTGAACTCAACGATTTTTGATTCCAATATACTCCAAGAGAGCATAAGGCCGATGTCAGACTTTGCGAATCGCGCGATTCGCTAGCGTCCGCGGTCGCGTTGCGGTACCAGCCAATTGAGTGATTCACTGGCCGCGACGCGACCGCGGACGCTAGCGAATCGCGCGATTCGCAAAGTCTGACATCGGCCTGAGTTACTGCAGAAAAAATCTACAAAACGCTCTATGTAAAAGAAAACATGATTGTGAGGGCAAACCAACCAGTATTTGATGGGGCTAGTGTTGAACTTTCGGCCCAAGAAAACCCATGGCAACGAAACATTTCTAAGCATCAAAGCAAGAAATACAACTGTCTCCGCCAGGAAGAGCTAAAAACATTTTGTCAAGCTGTTGACCAACAGGTATGCAAAAAAAGGTTCAGAAAACGCGGAGAATAACTTACTTCTCTTTGGTTGCAGCCAGTGAACGTGCCCACAAAAACTGCATGTTCGTCCATTGGGCCGATCCAATTCGGCAACGGTTACATAAAGTGTAAATAAACACTGCAAAATGACCAATCAAAATCAAACGCATACCTTACAAGAGTCTTTGGAATGGATTTATATCAGACCAATATCAGGTGCAAACCCTGTTCGAAATGACTTCCAACAACAACAGACTTTTATTTCCGCAGCATTAACAAAATACACAATGCAAGACCCGTGACGTGGCGTAGGAATAAATTAATGACGTAGAATACTCTACCAAAAATGGGAAAACTAGTATGCTGTGAATATGCAAGTGAAATTGGAGAATGATCGATGCACCGAAGAAACCTGTGGAAATGAAACCTGGCAAACAAAGGATGAGTAGGCCTTATCAAAAATCATTAAGCCGCACATCCTAGAAGTACAACGTGCTCAAACACTGACAAGGTTTTCGATATCGTTGAGGAAACATTACAATAATATAACAAGACATTTAAGAAATGCGTCCGATACTCATAACACTTATTGATGAGATCATAAATTTCAGGTTTCAATAAACCTGACTACCGAAATCTCACTTCACCTTCATTTACAATCGTAAGCTCGATTTAAGCACTGGAAGAGATAATTACTGCGGACATGGTAATACACGCCGCTGCTACAAAACGGTATGTGAATTACTCCATTTAAAGCGCAAACAAGTTTCTTACACTATGCACGGCATTACTATATGTAGTAGATATCATAGCTGCCTAAAAAATAAAGCACTTGCTCAAAAACTGGATTAGCTACGGCGCGTGTATGGGCCCGACACGCTTTTGACTGTCGGCCTATTCTGGTAGGACATGTAGGGCGTATTAGCATCCACCGACACCTTCAGCTTCCACTTGGTACTGGCTGCCTCGATTAAGCATATTTAAATCATCCTACCAGGCCACTAAACAGGGCGCAGACAAAGGGTACAGTATCCGGCGTTTGTCAATC